GGAGTTTTTCCTTCCCACTGTCGCCAAAGTGCTGCTCATAGGGGGTCATATGATTGTTGGGTTTTTCTCTGTATCTATGAAGCGCCTTGAGGCGACTTTTGTTGTGATTTGGCGCTATATAAATAAAATTGAATTGAATTGAATTGAAAAACACTTAGCTGTGTCTCAAATCAAAGACATTTCTTCTGGCTTTTTTAAACTACAAAACAAACAGCTGGACAGTCTGGGCAATGAGCTATTTTATACATTTAGCTCTTACAGTTTAAGTCCAAAGAGTTGTGCTGGCAGACTTCCTTCTTTGTCACAGCAGCTTTTTCTTCATCTCGTAGAAAAACTGTTAAACATGTGACTTCTTTCACTGAAGATCAAAGTGGGCTGTATGTGGCCCACAGTGTAAAACGACTCTGACACCACTGGCTTTAAGCTCCTTTAAAACTTATCAGGCTAATTGTTAATTGGAAGGAATACACAAAGAGATGAAAGGGCTTCATTAAGACTTTGCTCAGTACTATATATATTTTTTATAAATATTTAGAAAATTAGCACCAAACTGAAGAGAATATCTTGTTTGATATATTTGTTCCTTAAAGACTTTTTCAAAAATATTAATAAAATGCTACAAACAGTGCTTAGCCTCGCACATAGAATATCTCAGAGTACTTTAACCCGGCTCGTTCAGCTCCTGTGTGGGTTTGTGATGCATAAAGAAAAAAAGTTAGCAGCTTGTTTCCTGATCTGACAGAAACTTGTTCATTTGCAAACAGACGTGTAGTTTCTGTAGAAGTCTGTCAGGAAAAGACACGTTTTTGGGCTCATTTGCTAATTTCATTTTCTGTTGAACACGATGAGATGAGCGTTTTGTAAGGTCCTCATTAGCATTCAGAAGTGTATAAAACAGGCTTCAGGACGGTCCTGCTTAATCACCTGTTTGACAAGTTGGTACCATTGAGGGTCCAGTGTCACTTTGTTGGTTTCACTTACGGATCTCTGCTTGTCTGAGGAGACTTTCTGTCTTTTTTTGTTTTTACACTCAGTGTAATGTAGCACGGCTCAGTTATCGTCACAAGTCTGTCAGAGTAGCTGTTCTCTGTTTCGACTAAGTGAATATTTGTTAGAAATTCAAGCTGCTGGAGAAGAATATCATGTGTTTTTATGCCTCCATACTGGTGCTAACCAACAGAGGAGGCGTCACTCTGTTGGCATGTTAACACATGTCTAAGATCTAAAACATACATAATGAATTGTGTGCTGTTGTAATGATTCTGTCACTAATGGCCTGAGAGAGCATTTCACTGTAAATCCAGGGAGCAAAATGTGACCACTGAGATGCTGAAATAAAAACGTAATTAAAGTAAAATAAAAATTCTAAGTGTAAAATGAAAATAGAAACATGAGACGTCTTCACTTCAGAGTATTTTGAAAAATAGTGCTGTGCTGTGTTGTATGTTCATGTACAGGTTCTCCTCTGTGCCCTCGGAGTTTAGAATGTGCCCTGGCAGGAAGACACTTCTGCCGGCCTGGCAGCTCCCACTGTGGGCCTTGTCTGCGCCCCCTGGTGGAAAACTCCCGTGGACGCTGCGTGGTCAAGAGGAGACATGCTCCTCACACTCATTCTGTTAAAGGTAGGTGCTCCTACCTCATATTACTCCGACTCTTTTCACAGGATGACCAGAATGTTCTGTATTCACGCAATTAGATTCTGTATTCCAACTTTTAGTGCATATTAGTTCCTGCAGAACATGCATTAACTTTTTGTACAAGATCTTCCAACAGGTAACCTGAGAAATAGTAAATATGTGAGAAGTCATGGGAGTCATTTTTGACCAGGACATGTCCTTCAACGCACATATTAAACAAATATGTAAGACTGCTTTCTTCCATTTGTGCAACATCTCTAAAGTTAGAAATATCCTGTCTCAGAGTGACGCTGAAAAACTAGTTCATGCATTTATTACTTCCAGGCTGGACGACTGTAATTCATTAT